AGAGAATGGAACATCAAAATGGAGAGGAGACTGTTGACGGAGTTGAGTTTGTTGTAAAGACTGATGACTCAGTGACTATTGACAATGCAGTAAACAATTTGAATGAACGGGTAAAGTGATTAAATCAAATAGTTTTAATTCATTGCTTTGTGTCTTATGTAGTACATATTATATTACAGTTTCATTTTCATTGTTCATTTCGTAGATTCAAAATGGTAGCAACGTTATTCTAACCTTGAATGGTCACGATGTTTCCCTGGATAGCTTTGAGAGAGGTATGACCATTAGGGCTAGGCAAATTATGCTTCAATTTTTGACTATTATGAGCACTACTTTTAGGCACAGTCCCAAATTCCATCCTATTGTGCTTTGAAATGAATCCAATTGGTACTTTAAGCTTTACTCAAATATCAACTATCAAGTTACATGCATCTAATATAATTGTAATAATGCCAGAATGTGGTCATGCTTCTAAAGACTTTGAATCACTATAAAATAGAATACTCTGAGTCATTGCACTAGTACTTGTACCACCTGTTCATATCAAATTCCAATTTTATGTGAGGCCTTGACAGATTAATAAGTTGCCCTATTATACTCCAAACTTGCTAGCATAATTTGCTTATTTCTAATGACCATTATAATTTAGCATGCATTTTTAACATTAAAGGTACAGTAATAGCAGCATAAATGACCTTTTATAAGATGAATGGTGACTACATTACCAGTAGTTTTACTACTATATAGATATGTATACACTTAGAGGTCACTTGGGGGTGGTTTTACCAGTTACCAGTTTATCAGTTGGTATTTCCCCGATAATGTACACAATTAACGTAAGGTAAGGCTAATGTAAGAATAGAGATAATTTCTATTCTTATGTTACATAAACAGTGGCAATTGGTTTATACAGCACTTCTATAGCCTTACCTTACGTTAATTTTGCATTGTAAATCAGGCTTAAAGTTTTATACAGTGTAGCATTAGATAATAAGGATACCTAGCTGTAATAGATACACTTATTTAGTGGACTTAAATCTAAAATTAAATTTAAAAATAAAGGACATTTTGTAGTGTCCAAATTGCTATATGCAACAAAAAATATTTTCTTTTTATCATTTGTATTCTGTTTGGAATAAATATAAACTTATTAGTAATTACTTTAGTTAATTTGGATATTTTTATTACAAGTTTTAAAATTTTATTTTCTAGTTATAGCATCACCCACTCCTTTTCCAACAGCCACACCCACTTTTTCAACCAGACCTCCTATAAGTACATGTGGTTCCACTACTACACCTACTAGCAAGAGTACTCTTGCTACTAGTGATGATCGATTACTGGCTGAAAGGTTTGAATAAACAATTTAGAAAAATCACAATGGTATCATAGAAGAAAAGGATAAAATTACACATTCACGTGTGATGTGACTTACATCCACAGTTTATTATTACAAATTTACAATGATATCATTGAAAAAATTACTTATTCACATGTAACATGACTTACTGCCATCATATGAAAATATGAATCTGTGATAGAAAATAGAAAGAGAATAATGAAAGCTCATTTGCCAGCTTAAATTACACATTAAAAATCATTAAAATGGAGAAAATAATCAATTTAATTGACTGCATATTGTCTATGTAGATCAATGCAGTTTGATTCTTGATTGTAATTATATTGCTAAATCACAATTTGTCCTATGTGGTATTAAGAATTTGCTTAATCATATGAGCGTTATAATGATGTATAATAAGACTCAAATAATCTTAAAAGATGATGTAAGGGAATTTTAGCTGTATTAGTAAGAACGAAACTACATACATACATAATACATGAATATTATATTCTTATAGTATCAGTGGTCTGAATTATGTGTACTATCAGAAGATAACATGATAAAGAACATGTCTAAAGAGATAACCAACATATGTGAATGGGCTGAGGTACATGTATATGTATTGCACAGTAATGGAAGAGAGAGAGGGGAAGGGAAGAATCCATTTATTACAGTTTATTTTGGCAGATTAAGTACATATGTACATGTATGTATTCTATATTTTAGTGATTTTAGTGTTGCTCTCTCTTCGTTTCATTTCTTCTCATCCTCCTACCTTCCTGGAGTATCAGTGTTCATATTTAACATGTTAATGGCATCAAGTAATGCTGATAGAATATTGTTATCTTTTAAGACGTTTATTGATTGGAATCATTCCGATCAATAAATGTCTTAAAACATAACAAGATTCTATCAGCCACAATCAATCAGAATTTAACACTAAAGTGAGCAGATTGAGAAGAGTTTGAGGAACGTTTTTGTTCATCTCTTTTGTTTAATTTTCAAATACACTTACTTTTATTTTGATTGCTGCATCAAAAAACTCTCAAAATCTTGGGCTCAACTCCTTAAATCTCCTTTAATTGAAAATCAATTAATTAATAACAATATCAAAAGTATTGTGATTATTTAAAAATAAATACTTCTGATTGCTTCTTAAAACACTGCAAACTGCTAAAATCATAATCAGGGGCTAGATAATTTTGTTAAGAGGCTTGGTAGTGATGCAAAAGTCCGTAATTTTTTTTGAGCCCAGCTATGAGGGGGTGTTCAAGCCCCTCTCAGCCCCTCCTGGATATGCTCCTGTAATATTTGAACTCTGTTCAGGAAATATCAATATACATTGACTATACTTGTGACAGGAGCTGCTTCCTTATCTTTGGGATTGCAAGCACTTATAAAAATGTAGATCTACATCTCTGTTCTCAAGCAATGTTTTCAAGACATGTCAATGATTCCATTATTATTGTCAGTTAGGCAATGATTTAGAAGAAAAAAATTTTTAATAAGCAACAGAGGAGCCAATTACAAAATTATAAATAGAATAATAGTTATACATAGTTTAAAGAGCTAAAATTGTATAGAAGTTTGTGTATGCAGTCAGTCAAAGTAATATTGTATTGTGGAGCTTTTGTATATTTTAGAGCAAATGTATTACAGTTCTTTTTTGCTGTTTACTGACCCTGAATCAATAATCATAATAATGACAACAATTATTTTTACAATCCAGTTTTACTTACTTATATAAGCTGCAACAGCTTTTTCTCCAG